CTTTCATTTTGTTCAAGCAGTTTTGTCAGCTTTCAATGGAATTTTTAATTTCCTGAATATCTCTTTGAATCTGCTTCATGGATCCTAATTCTTTCCCATACTTTTCATTCAAGTTTCCTTCATTTTTCTGTGCTCCTATATTCTTTAATCTATGTCTTATTTTGATATGCTGAGCAATTCCTTGATTATGATTGTCATTTCTTTTTTACCTGAGTGATTCTTTCTGATCTGGTTTCCTCTATAGCCTTATGTAGCTGGTTCTTTACTTCAGTTGCTATCATTTCAGAAATTTCAGGTGTGTGACTTCCATGTTCTTCCATGTTGATGTTTCCTGGACTTGTTCTGGTTGGGTTGGAGGTCTGAGGTTACATTTTGCTCCTTCTTTTTATCATTTTCAAATCTTTCTAGGTTTCCTGGGATTCAGAGTCATTCCTGGGATGGCAAGTGGCACTGGAGTGTGGGGTTTTGGGGTCCAAGAAAGCAAACGGAAGCTTCCCAGATCCCAGGGTCCTTCTCACAATGGTGGTGGGAGGTGGAACATGGGGTCTTGGGTTCCCAGGCAGCTCACTGAGGTTTTCCTGGACTTAGTCACCTTCTGTGATGGTGGTGGTGGGTGGGTGTCCTGTTTTTTTAGTGTTCTATCTCCTGTTTGGGAATGAATGTGAGGTTACAGCTGTGTAGTCATAAGGGTAGCACAACAAAAACCAACTACTGGTTTTCTTTTTTGTTTTGGTTTGTGGAGGCAGGGTCTCATCATATAGTTCATGCTGTTCTTGAACTTATATGTAACTGAAGCTGGCCTTGAACTTGCAACAATCTTCCTGCCTCAGCCTCTTGAGTGCTGGGGTTATAGGTATGTGGCACCATGCCTGGGCCAACTGCTACTTTTATTTGTTCTCTCTGTATTTATTTTATTCTGTCAAGAATTAAAATTCACATTCTGATTTCTATTCCCATGATCTTCCACATTAATCAATATTATTCAACAAATATTCAAAAACTTTGAAATGTCTCCTACATTTCTTCAGATGAAACCTTATAAAAGTTTGAAGGTGAAGAGTGGAATGGAAAGATGGATGAGATGGAGTTACCAAGTAATCTGTTGTTTTCTTCTTGAGAGGATTTACTCCTTTCCTGGTTTTTCTTATTGCATTCTTTCTTTGTCACTAGTTGGTATCCCATGGCTAACTTCCCTTTTTTCTATAGGATAATTTAATTTACTATAATTTGAGAACATGTTCTTGCTTCCTTTGTATTTCTACTCTATGTAGAATAGCTTTATTGATCTTGTGGACCCTATGTTCCCTCACTTATCTCCTTTTGCAAATCCCAAGCAAGGCCTCCACTTATTTGCACTCTTTTCCCTCTTAGTCTTCTAGACAGTTTTGTCCATATGATGTCATCAAAAGTGAAATAAATTAGTTAAGAAGATAGTCATGTCATAAAGCCCTCCTACTTCCTTAGACTTTCCATTCTCTGTATGTGGGTGGGGTTAGGACAGTTCTTAATTTTAAAAACCTCAGTGTTTCTGGTTCAAAATCCCCCCATAATGGCAATTCCTTTTTGCCCAGTTTCTACTCAAAAGTCCTGTCCTTGATATTTTCAGGCAATGTACCTATAATTAAGCATAAGTAGTGTACATTCTTTAATGTATGAATTTCGCTTAACAACTGTATAAAGTAAACAGGACAGCAATTATTGTCCTCATTTTAGTCCTGAGGAATCTGATGCCTAGAGAGAGATTTATTCCTTAGAGTTTGTGGTCTGAAGAAGATATACTTTAATCAATGCTTATAGAAGCAATGCAGTTAGGAAGTGGAAACCTCCAGCCAGCAGAGGTTATAGAAACTGCCGGTTCCCTGGAGAATGGTTTTCTTCACTAGGCTTTATTCAAGGAATTCTTTGGAGGCAGCTGGTAGGTGGGTTTGCTTGGTGCAACAAAAGTTCACTCCAATACATGAACAGTCAGTATTCTAGTTCAATAAAAGCAGAGTCTGTGAGAGGGACCCAGGGGTATGCTGCTAATCCTAGAAGGAGGCAGGAGACAACTGGAGGTGAGGACAGAAGGCAAGAAGGAGGGGGAAGGAGAATAAGTGACAGAGAGGGAAAAAGTGTGAAATAATTTGCCCCCAATTTATCTCTCTGAAAATTTGATATGGGAAAATTCTTACTCAAAAATGAGATAAAGAAGTAATTATTTGCATTACAAATTAACTCTTCACTTCAAAAGATTATTTACCACAGGTGTGACTTTGTGATGCATGATTTCAGAAAAGAATATGACTTGGGAGAGGTGGGAGATTTAAACAATAAGCATCCTGGTTATAATATAATAGGAAATAATTCCAGTGATAAGGGGGAAGATAGATAAAGAAAGAGGTGGCTGTACAGGGAGCTCTCTGCAGAGCTCAGGCTTTGAAAAGGACTTGAACAAAAGGAGGGGATTATAGATAAGGTTGAACACAAAAGACTATCATGAACCTTCAAGAACAGCATAAAGGAGGATAAAGTCAGGAGTGAGCTGAGCCTTCTGAAAAGTGCTAAAGGCTGTTGTACTTAGAGTAAGGCAAAACACAAACATGGAGCTACCTGCTTTTTGAATTGTAATGGTAACAGAAATAGTTCTTAGCATTCCTGCTGTTTACTTTGCTTCTGTCTTCTCCAAGGTACAAAAGGTATTTTTTTAACAAGATGAAGAAATAGTATCTCTTTTAGACAGTATATTTGCATAGAATGTGTATATCAATATTAGTCCAATTGGGAAAGTGACAAGAGCACTATATCCTGGTCATCAAAGACAAATTAAGACTTAGGAGCTCTCAGGACAAATTTGAGAGAAAAGTGGTAAGGAGCAGACACAGGAGAGACGAAACCAGGAACATAGTGATCTGTATCCTCCCCTCCTTTCCCATTCTGCTCAAATTTTAGATAAATCTAAAATTTGTTAATTTCTTGGTATGAGTGGATTTCTTATGAAATAAGAAATGGAGCTCAGTTTTGTCTCCCTTAGGGGAATTGAGGAAAATGAAAGCCAACTATCAGATGCAGGAGCTGGAACACAGGAAAGGGATGCAAGGCCATGCCACACCTGCTATTTTGAAAGGAAAATGAAACCACATGTAGGTAAAACAGTAGGAAAACTTGGAGCCTCTCAAAGTGGATTTGAGTTTCTAGAGCCAGAGGAATTAAATGCTAGGAAACTGAAATGCTGTACAGTGTAGAGGAGGTCTCAGAATTTTATCAGTAATCTATTGGGAATCACAGCAAATGGTAGGAATGCCTAAGGACTGAAGGGTTTTTACAAAGGGGAACAAATTAGATTCTACCAACAAGAGTGGAGGAAATAAGCTTTGATATACATTCCACTGCCAGTGACTAAATTAAGGCTAAGCCAATGATGGTATTCCACACACCTTGCCACTGTGATTTAATCTTGGTTAATTAGACACAAGGGAATACTGCTTGGGATTTCAGGCAAAGAAATGCCATAAGACTCAGAGTGGTTCTGCTGCACAGACATTGTCGTTTTGGATATGACTCCTGGAACTGCTCCCCGATCCTTACCTTGTACTCCCAGAGATGGGGTGAGCGGCTCAAGAGTAGAGCAATCCACCCAGGTTGGCAATCATGAGTGACAGAAAGATCTTGAACCCGTGATGACAACACTAAATCACTGAATCTGCCAGCCTGAAGTTCACATAACCTACAGATTTCTTCATACGTAATGATAAATCTAATTGCTTAAGACAAATTGAGTCAAGGTTTTTTGGTATTTGGTGTAAAGAGATTCTAACTAATTCAATCGTATATTTTGAATTTGACAGACATTTCACAAATTCTTGTATTGTTCAGCTTTCCCATTGCTGGGACAAAGTACCTGTCACCCATGATTCAAGGGAGAGAAGGTTATTTTGGCTTTTAGTTTTAGTTTTCAGTCCATGGTTGGCTGGCTCCAAGGCAGAGACATCATGGCAAAAGGGTACAGTAGAGGAAAAGGTCTCAGTTCATGGCATTTGGGAAGCAGAGCTGGTTGCAAAGAACCGGACAAGGGGTCAGGTTCCTCAAGGTCTCCAAGATCATGCCTCTGTAATCCACCCAGACATACACAGATGTGTATTTGCTAATCTCTAAGGCCAATCAAGTTGACAATCAAGATGAACCATTGGCACATACGTGTAATACCCACACTCTAAGAGGACTGCAAGTTTGAGTCCAGCCTAGGTAACTTAGTGATTTAGTGAGACCCTGTCTTAAAAATAAGAAAAAAGAGAAGGGATATAGCCTAGAGTGAAGGCCCTGGATTTCATAATCTCGAGGACTATAAAAAAATTAACTATAACATTTTTCTTGATATAAAAGTAACTTCTGGCCAGATAATAATAACCCTTAAGTGTATTGTATGTGGATAGCAGAAGAGTAGTGATAGCTTGTGCAAGTCCTACTAATATCATGACTCTGACTTTGAGGAGTCACTCCAGGCCACAGTGACTTATCAATAACATGACAACATTCCCTTTAATGTCTTCTTTCACTTGAAGATAATTCAAATCTGGAGGGAAGTCTAAGATAATAAATATCAGAATTAAAATTCAAAGTGATTTAGCAAATTGAAATGCTAGCTAGAATAAGACCAACAAGTTGAATAGATGTCAAATATAAGACATAACATTGGCTCAGAATTCTACTGTAAAAACTCAAGGGACAGGAGATTGATTTAGTAGAACTTGAATGGAAAGCAACGGAGAATTTTGGTAGTGTACATGTAATGTATACTATGATTCACTGCCTAGAATCCCCCTTCACAGTGGAGGCAGGAATTCCTTCAGCTGCAGGAAGTATTGTGGCTCTCAGCTGAGTCCCTCTCTAGGACTGGCCTTCAGGTGAAAAGAAACATCACCAGGAAGTTGTGCCCTAGAGACAACTACTTTTTATGTTTAATCAAAACAGGCATAAAAATACTGGTTCATATGCTTAAAGGGAGGAAAAGTCTGAGGGGTTACCTCAAATCCAGGGTTCACTCTGGGCTCCTCAGAAGCACTTGTCAGAACTGAATCAGTGCTCCACTTCTCCTCTACCCAGTTTTCCTTTAACCAGACAGATGTTGAAACTGTTGATCCTAAAGTTCCAGTAAACTTTCTACATGTGAATCTTCAACTCAGAGTCTGTATTTGCTAGGGACTCGCAAGTGTCATCACAGTTCTACTGTTAGAGTGGGACAGTATAGAACCCAGGTAGTAAATGTAATATTGACCTAAGTATGACTCACAATGGGTCATTTCCTTAGTCATGAGAGTATACATTCCCATCTGTAACTGGAATGGACATATGTAGTAGTTGGCAGAAGCATCTATTGTTTGATTGACTTATGGATGGGGAATGAGAATACTAGGGAAGGCCAAATGTGAGCTTCTGAAACTTCCCTTCAAGCCTAGAAAATTGTTGAGAACATCTGAAGCTGGTGATCAATCATGCATGCAGGACAAAGCCAGCCCAAGAACATGGGGAGCTCCTTGAACCATGTAAACAAGCTGATACATCTTATTAACTGATTGCTGGGTAGAGAGGCTGAAATTAATATCAACCTCTTGAGGGTATAAATAAACACTTTACCATTCTTGGCAGTTCTTCTCCATTTAGGAGAGAGAGGATTGCCACCCGACTCAGTTCTTAGCTCTTGTTTATCTTTGCCTCATTCCCTCTGCCATTCCTCCCCCCCAGGTACACTGAGAGCCTAACGAGTCACAAGTCAGGACAGAAAATAAATTTTAAAAAAGAGGGGAAGAATGACAGAGATTAGTGTGTTTGTTGCAGGGGTAATGATATTCATCAATCCATAATCTGGCCCCTATAGAAACCTGGGGAATGACAGTGGACTGTCATGCAATCAACCAAGAAGTAGCCTTTGTTGCTGCTGTGCCAGAAGTGATGTCTTTCCTACAGTAGATAAGCATGGTTTTGAGTATACAGTATGAAACCATTGATTTGGTGTGTTTATGTGTTCATTTCTATCCTTATCAGTAACATATTTACTTGAGAAGTATAAAAATTTACACTTACAGTCTTCCTCAGGGCTAGATAGATTCTTTGATCTGTTGGCATAACATTGCTCAAAGAGCTCTTGCTATATTTATAACATCTTGTAAATCAGACCCAATTAATGAGAGTTCATTGAAAGTCAAACACATTGAAAGCCTTGGTTAGGCACACATACTCCAAAGGTTGGGAGATGATGAATACTGAAGATTAAGGGACTTGTGACATCAGTAACATTTTTAGATGTCTGATGGGCTGGGGAATGCTGGGGTATCCTTTTAAAGTAAACTACAAATTATTGTAACTTGCATTTTGTAACTAGGAAATATTCACAGCACCCAATCAGCCTCTTCTGGTTCTAACAGCAGCACATTTTGCCTTCAAATATGCTTCTCTACCCACATACCAGGTGAAGCCAAAGTCTACTAGCTTTGGAAAGAGCTCTGCAGCAGGGCCAGGCTGCAGTGTAAGCTGTTTGTGATTTGGAACATACCATGTGTTGAAGCTTATGGCATAGGAGAAATTACTGATAGGGAAAATGCTGTGTAGGTTTTATGGCAAGCCTCTATAAGAAACCCAAATAGACCTCTAGGATTTAAAAGCAAGGCATGCTATCTGTGGCAAAGAACTATATACCTTTAGATAAGTATCTCCAGTTGTTATACTGGCTCTTGGAAGAAACAGATGACTTGACTATGGGATACCAAGTGTTCAGGCAGCCAGAACTGCCCATCATAAGTTCTGACACCCCTACTCATGAGGGTCAAGCAGGCCCACTAACAACTGCAAGGCAAAATTTGATATCTGGGGTCAGGCATTAGTAGAGCCAAGAGTGCAAATAAGTTGCACTTAATAGATGGCGGGACTCCTATGTGATCCACCACTCTTGCACTGAGGCCTCACTCTTAGATCACACTTAGAGCTCATGGAATGCAAGGGAAAGCTATTTGGCTTATGGATGGGTAAGATCAGTAGCTAATCACAAGCCAAAACATAGATTATTGCTATACAACAGGGATGCAGCCCCACTCAGAGATGTCCCAGAAAGAGAGAAATAAGAACAGTTCCTTTTAATGGATAAAACATCATCTAGTGCACCTGTGAAGAGACATGAGAAGGCTATATGTCACTTGTGGGCATCAGTAAATAACCAGTTACTCTACATAACCCAGGAAGTAGAATGTCTTATCCCAGGAAGTGTGAATGTAACATTTGATCCACTAAAATAGGATCCTTTCAAACACTGAAACAGACTAAAGCAACTGCTTATATCATTGGTGGTGTGCCTGTGCACGTGACCATGTGTCAACTGCTTCTATCACATATCACACTTCCCAGAAATGCATAGCCTAGTGGGCTTTAGCATACATTTTTGAAGTTACACCTGAGGTGTCATCTTGGATATTATACCTTCTGATGATAGATACTAGCTTCCAGTCAACAGTACACACTGTAACTTAATGATGACTACTGTATATATGATGACTCAACCAATCAAATGTATAGATATGAAAAGCAAGCCTCTCATATCTCTTCTGTTTTGCTGGGGTGGGGGTGGGGAGGATTACTGGGCATTGTACCATGGAGCTCGTGCCCAGGCCTTTAATTTTTGAGACAGAGTGGACTCAAACTCATAATTCTCCTGCCTCTGCCTACCAAGTAGCTGAAATTACAGGATTACTCCACTGGGTTCATTTCTCTCTCTCTTTTTGGAAACAGGGTCTTGCTATGTAGTTCAGGCTGGCATAGAGCTCCTGGTGATCTTCCAGTCTCAGCTTCCTGAGTGCTGGGATTACAGGTGTACACCACCATGCTTGGCCATATCTCCTTTCTTTTTCTTTCTTTCTTTCTTTCTTTCTTTCTTTCTTTCTTTCTTTCTTTCTTTCTTTCAGAGTAAAAGAAGGATAACATAGTAATGTGGGGTATTTACCAAATTGCAGACAAAGTGGTAGGAAATTATCAATAATTGTTATTTTACCTATTGGTATCTTCAAGACAGCTTCTCAGGAAAACAAATAGACAAATAATAGTGAGTTACAAACAAAAATGGTAGGAAATTATCAATGGTTGTTGTACTATACTTTGGTTTCTTCAAAGTGGTTTCTAGAGAAAACAAATAGAGCTATACATGAGTGATCAATTAAATAATCATTGACTATTCTCAATGGTTGTTGTTGAAAACACATAGTTATAAACATACATCCATTTACAAAATAGCATAGGAACAATAGAAACATTACAGAGTTATGGACAGATTGGTAGGAAATTATCAATGGCTGCTGTAATACATGTTGGTATCTTCAAAGTGGTTTCTCAGGAAACATATCTCTTCTTATAAGGACACTAATCATATGAAAGCCTCATTCTTATGACTGGATTTAACTTTAATTACTTCCTGATAGATTCCATCCCAAAAAAATAAATTTAGGGTTTAGGCTTCAACAAATGAATTTTGGGAGGACACTATGGAATCCATAGCAAAATATCTCATGTTCATTTTCTGTTAATCCAGTTCCTCTTCCTCCTACTCCACTTAGCCACTAATCTACTGTCTACAGATTTGCCTTTGGGGAATTTCATATAGATGGAATACATGGTCTTTGTGTCTTGTTTCTTTCCCTTAGTATAAGTTCATGTTTTTGCATGTGAATATCCACTCACCCCAGAACAATTTATTTAAAATATTTTCTGTTCTCTACAGGTCAGTTTTGTTGAAAACAAGTTGACTATAAATAAAATGATTTCTGAACTCTTAATTTTGTGCCACTGATCTACTTTATGCTAATACCATACTGTTTTGATAACTGTAGCTTTATAGTAGTACATTTTGAAATCAGTGAGTAAACCTCCAGTTTCTTTCTTCACACCTTTGTAAGCCACTAATTTTCCTTCTGTGTCTATGGATTTACTTACTCTGGATATTTGTTCTTTTAAAAAATCATTTTGGCTATTTTAAGTCTCTTGCTTTTCTATATAAATTTTGTAAACTGTCAGGTTTTTTGGGGGGGTCAGAGGGAGTCTGATGAAATTGGGATTGCATGAAGTCTACATATCAATTAGGAGAAAATTGTCATTTTAATATATAAAATCTTCTAACCCAAGATGATGGAAGTTAGAGGCACTTATTTTTTTTTATTTGTTAATTTATTTTGGTGATTAATGTTTTTCATTGAGGTAAAATTCACACAAGATAAATTAACAATTTTAAAGTAAAGAATTCAGTGAGATTTAGTAGATTAATAATATTGGGCAAACACTACCGCTATCTAGTTCCAAAAGATTTTTGTCATCACAAAGGAAAACTGTGTATCTTCAAGCAGTTATACCCCATTCCCCTTTCTTCTCATTCCTGGAGACCACCAATCTTCTTTCTATCATCTGTGGATTTATCTAAGTTGGGTATTTCATATAAATGAAATCATACAATATGTGACCTTTATATCTGGCTTCCTTCATTAGCCTAATGTCTTTAAGGTTCATCTATAGTGTAGAATATGTCAGTGTTTTATCCTACTTTAAGGTTGAATGATATTCCATTGCATGGATATACCACAATTTATTTATCCATTATCCCATTGATGAACATTTGTATGCTTTCCATCTTTTGGCCATTGTGAATAACATTGCTGTAAACATTTGTGTATAAGTATTTGTTTAAATATCTGCTTTAATTTGAAGGGATACATAACCAGGAGTGGAATTTCTGGGTAATATATTAATGCTATATTTAACCTTTTTTGGTTAAACATGTCTTAAAGGAGGAATATATCTTCTAGGACATAAGAATCCTATTAAGCTGTAAGCTGTGATTTTTACCTAGTCATTTATAATTTCTCATGCCAGGAGACCAATAAGCAACTGATGCAACAACTTGGGGAAAGTAATTGCAGAAGGTAGGGAGGTTGTTATACCATGAAGATATGGAACAGTGCATGTGCTACTGGGTGATCTGCTGAGGTGTCTTTTTATATTTCTTTACCCATCTTTAATAGTAAAAATGCAGTGCATTTGTAAAAATCACTGTGTCCTTCAAGGCTGTTCCACTAGGTAAGTCACTGTGATGGTTACTTTTAGGTGTTAACTTAACTGGATTGAGATATATCCAGACAGCTGGTAAAACATTATCTCTGGTTGTATCTGTGTGGGTGTTTCTAAAA